CCAGTGGACAGAACACAGGTGTCCAGGTGTACCAGGCACTAGAGGCTTGGCCAGTGGACAGAACACAGGTGTCCAGGTGTATCAGGCACTACTGTCCTGGACAGTGGACAGAACACAACTGTCCAGGTGTATCAGGCACTAGAGGCCTGGACAGTGGACAGAACACAGGTGTCCAGGTGTACCAGGCACTAGAGGCTTGGCCAGTGGACAGAACACAGGTGTCCAGGTGTACCAGGCACTAGAGGCTTGGCCAGTGGACAGAACACAGGTGTCCAGGTGTACCAGGCACTAGAGGCTTGGCCAGTGGACAGAACACAGGTGTCCAGGTGTATCAGGCACTAGTGTCCTGGACAGTGGACAGAACACAGGTGTACCAGGCACTAGAGGCTTGGCCAGTGGACAGAACACACAGGTGTCCAGGTGTATCAGGCACTAGAGGCCTGGACAGTGGACAGAACACAGGTGTCCAGGTGTATCAGGCACTAGAGGCCTGGACAGTGGACAGAACACACAGGTGTCCAGGTGTATCAGGCACTAGAGGCCAGGACAGTGGACAGAACACAGGTGTCCAGGTGTATCAGGCACTAGAGGCCTGGACAGTGGACAGAACACAGGTGTCCAGGTGTATCAGGCACTAGCGGCCTGGACAGTGGACAGAACACAGGTGTCCAGGTGTATCAGGCACTAGAGGCCTGGACAGTGGACAGAACACAGGTGTCCAGGTGTATCAGGCACTAGAGGCCTGGACAGTGGACAGAACACAGGTGTCCAGGTGTATTTGGCACTAGAGGCCTGGACAGTGGACAGAACACAGGTGTCCAGGTGTATCAGGCACTAGAGGCCTGGACAGTGGACAGAACACAGGTGTCCAGGTGTATCAGGCACTAGAGGCCTGGACAGTGGACAGAACACAGGTATCCAGGTGTATCAGGCACTAGAGGCCTGGACAGTGGACAGAACACAGGTGTCCAGGTGTATCAGGCACTAGAGGCCTGGACAGTGGACAGAACACAGGTGTCCAGGTGTATCAGGCACTAGAGGCCTGGACAGTGGACAGAACACAGGTGTCCAGGTGTATCAGGCACTAGAGGCCTGGACAGTGGACAGAACACAGGTGTCCAGGTGTATCAGGCACTAGAGGCCTGGACAGTGGACAGAACACAGGTGTCCAGGTGTATCAGGCACTAGAGGCCTGGACAGTGGACAGAACACAGGTGTCCAGGTGTATCAGGCACTAGAGGCCTGGACAGTGGACAGAACACAGGTGTCCAGGTGTATTTGGCACTAGAGGCCTGGACAGTGGACAGAACACAGGTGTACCAGGCACTAGAGGCTTGGCCAGTGGACAGAACACAGGTGTCCAGGTGTATCAGGCACTGGAGGCCTGGACAGTGGACAGAACACAGGTGTCCAGGTGTATCAGGCACTAGAGGCCTGGACAGTGGACAGAACACACACCTGGAAGCCCGCGTATTGTCCTCCAGGTGTGTACTGAATACCATTTCCTTCCTAAGTGTAAATCCATTGAGAGAGACCTGAGGGGGTATAGGGATGGGGACAGGCAGACATGACAAGTGACGGGCGGGCGTGATGACACCGTCCCACCTGCAGGAAGATGCTGGGGTGGTTCCAGAATATATACACTGTAGCTACGTACTTCAGGAAGCCGGATAGGGGCCCCCCACAGCACCAGGAGCTTCGCCAAAAATAGATTTGGCGGAGGGAAATTCGGTGCCGTACGGGCTGGCGCGTCGGTTAAAGCCGAAATATGATTTGGCGAGCGATGTGGAAAGGGCACAGGTTGGGCCATGACTAGATGTTGGTGTCTCCTACTGGTGACCTTCCTTGTTGCTGGTGACCCTTGTTGCTGGTGACCCTTGTGGCTGGTGACCCTTGTGGCTGGTGACCCTTGTTGCTGGTGACCCTTGTTGGTGGTGACCCTTGTTGCTGGTGACCCTTGTTGCTGGTGACCCCTTCCTTGTTGTAATATAGTGTAATATATAATTACAGTGCATATGCTGGTCCATTATGGCTTTAGGCTAGGAATATTGTGTCATGTGTGGCTGTTTGGTCCCTAAGCTCCCCTCTACCCCTAAGCTGGCCTCTACCCTCTGGCCCTAAGCTGCCCTCTACCCTCTGGCCCTATGCTACCCTCTACCCTCTGGCCCTAAGCTACCCTCTACCCTCTGGCCCTAAGCTACCCTCTACCCTCTGGCCCTAAGCTCCCCTCTACCCTCTACCCCTAAGCTGGCCTCTACCCTCTGGCCCTAAGCTACCCTCTACCCTCTGGCCCTAAGCTACCCTCTACCCTCTGGCCCTAAGCTACCCTCTACCCTCTGGCCCTAAGCTACCCTCTACCCTCTGGCCCTAAGCTACCCTCTACCCTCTGGCCCTAAGCTACCCTCTACCCTCTGGCCCTAAGCTGGCCTCTACCCTCTGGCCCTAAGCTACCCTCTACCCTCTGGCCCTAAGCTACCCTCTACCCTCTGGCCCTAAGCTACCCTCTACCCCTAAGCTACCCTCTACCCTCTGGCCCTAAGCTCCCCTCTACCCTCTGGCCATAAGCTACCCTCTACCCTCTGGCCCTAAGCTACACTCTACCCTCTGGCCCTAAGCTCCCCTCTACCCTCTGGCCCTAAGCTACCCTCTACCCTCTGGCCCTAAGCTACCCTCTACCCTCTGGCCCTAAGCTACCCTCTACCCTCTGGCCCTAAGCTACCCTCTACCCTCTGGCCCTAAGCTACCCTCTACCCTCTGGCCCTAAGCTCCCCTCTACCCTCTGGCCCTAAGCTGCCCTCTACCCTCTGGCCCTAAGCTACCCTCTACCCTCTGGCCCTAAGCTACCCTCTACCCTCTGGCCCTGACCTTTGCCCCCCCATGGGGAGGGGGGGGGGTTGTTTTGCGAGGCTGGCATTTTTGTGGAATTATTTGAGGTTGACAAGACTAAGGTTGACAGGGATGATTGAATAGCCGCGGTAGATAGTGGCAGCGATGTGGCAGAGATTGATGGACCGAAGTTGATGTGGGTGTGTTGTGTGGTTGAGGGGGGGGGGAGGGGGATGAGTGGGTGGGCGGGGAGTGACCGGAACTACTCCTCCCACCACACACACACACACACACGGTACCAGATGATTGACAGTTGAGAGGTACCAGTTGATTGACAGTTGAGAGGTACCAGTTGATTGACAGTTCAGAGGCGGGTCCTAAGAGCCAAAGCTCAAGCCCTGCAAGCACAACTAGCCGAGTACACACACACACACACACACACACACACACACACACACACACACACACACACACTAGCTCATACACCAGCTCCTTTGTATGGGTTTTCACTCATATCCAGAGAGAGGGCGCGAGATATGAGAGGGAAGAGTGTTGGGGTTGCAGAGTACAAAGAGTGCAGGAGAAGAGTGTGGGAATGTTGGGTTAAAAACAGTGTGGGGCAAAGGGTTAATTACTGCTATTGGTGCCTGTTAATTAAGAATTCCAGCAGCGACTGCATTTGGTGGTAAACTTGGTCTCTGGCACATGTGGCGCTCATTGTATCCACACTCCCCCCTGTGGCGCTCATTGTATCCACACTCCCCCCTGTGGCGCTCATTGTATCCACACTCCCCCCTGTGGCGCTCATTGTATCCACACTCCCCCCTGTGGCGCTCATTGTATCCACACTCCCCCCTGTGGCGCTCATTGTATCCACACTCCCCCCTGTGGCGCTCATTGTATCCACACTCCCCCCTGTGGCGCTCATTGTATCCACACTCCCCCCTGTGGCGCTCATTGTTTCCACACTCCCCCCTGTGGCGCTCATTGTTTCCACACTCCCCCCTGTGGCGCTCATTGTATCCACACTCCCCCCTGTGGCGCTCATTGTATCCACACTCCCCCCCTGTGGCGCTCATTGTATCCACACTCCCCCCTGTGGCGCTCATTGTGGCGCTCATTGTATCCACACTCCCCCCTGTGGCGCTCATTGTATCCACACTCCCCCCCTGTGGCGCTCATTGTATCCACACTCCCCCCTGTGGCGCTCATTGTATCCACACTCCCCCCTGTGGCGCTCATTGTATCCACACTCCCCCCTGTGGCGCTCATTGTATCCACACTCCCCCCTGTGGCGCTCATTGTATCCACACTCCCCCCTGTGGCGCTCATTGTATCCACACTCCCCCCTGTGGCGCTCATTGCATCCACACTCCCCCCTGTGGCGCTCATTGCATCCACACTCCCCCCTGTGGCGCTCATTGTATCCACACTCCCCCCTGTGGCGCTCATTGTATCCACACTCCCCCCTGTGGCGCTCATTGTATCCACACTCCCCCCTGTGGCGCTCATTGTATCCACACTCCCCCCTGTGGCGCTCATTGTATCCACACTCCCCCGTGGCGCTCATTGTATCCACACCCCCCTGTGGCACTCATTGTATCCACACTCCCCCCTGTGGCGCTCATTGTATCCACACTCCCCCCTGTGGCGCTCATTGTATCCACACTCCCCCCTGTGGCGCTCATTGTATCCACACTCCCCCCTGTGGCGCTCATTGTATCCACACTCCCCCCTGTGGCGCTCATTGTACCCACACTCCCCCCTGTGGCACTCATTGTATCCACACTATCCCCCCTGCGGCACTCATTGTACCCTCTCGCACATTGTATACCACATGGGGAACTACTTATCAGTTATAGCCTCTTTTTATTGGTGTAAGTTGAGCTTAGTGGTTTAGGTCTTCTAATTGGTGGGATGATAGCACCTGAGAGCTCGTTAGTATGGCTGGGAGGTTGTATTGTGGCACTGGTGCCAGCTGGGAAGTGCTGTATAATGTTTGTGCCACTTGTCGAGGGTGCCAGGTTCATTGTTATGGCACTCGTTGGATTTTGTCATTATTATTGTGCGACGTTCAACAGTGTGTTTCTGGGCGATTGTCGCGGTATTGGTGGCAGCGGTGGGATGTTGGGTGATGGTCGCGGTATTGGTGGCAGCGGTGGGATGTTGGGTGGTTATTGTGGTATTGGTGGCAGCGTGGGATGTTGGGTGGTTATCACGGTATTGGTGGCAGCGGTGGGATGTTGGGTGGTTATCACGGTATTGGTGGCAGCGGTGGGATGTTGGGTGATTATTGTGGTATTGGTGGCAGCGGTGGGATGTTGGGTGATTATTGTGGTATTGGTGGCAGCGGTGGGATGTTGGGTGGTTATCACGGTATTGGTGGCAGCGGTGGGATGTTGGGTGGTTATCACAGTATTGGTGGCAGCGGTGGGATGTTGGGTGATTATCACGGTTTCGGTGACTGTTGCAATAGTGTTGGGGTCCTGGGTGACTGTTGCAACAGTAACGGGGTCCTGGGTGACTGTTGCAACAGTGGCGAGGTCTTGGGTGACTGTTGCAACAGTAACGGGGTCCTGGGTGACTGTTGCAACAGTGGCGAGGTCCTGGGTGACTGTTGCAACAGTAACGGGGTCCTGGGTGACTGTTGCAACAGTGGCGAGGTCCTGGGTGACTGTTGCAACAGTAACGGGGTCCTGGGTGACTGTTGCAACAGTGGCGAGGTCCTGGGTGACTGTTGCAACAGTAACGGGGTCCTGGGTGACTGTTGCAACAGTGGCGAGGTCCTGGGTGACTGTTGCAACAGTAACGGGGTCCTGGGTGACTGTTGCAACAGTGGCGAGGTCCTGGGTGACTGTTGCAACAGTAACGGGGTCCTGGGTGACTGTTGCAACAGTGGCGAGGTCCTGGGTGACTGTTGCAACAGGTCTATATTTACACAAGAATTAAAATAAATGGAGAAATGTGTTTGTTTCAAAAACAAAGATGAACTAAGTAACCAAGAAGACAGTGTGTATTCACCAAGTTGTGCTTGCGGGGGTAAGCTTTGGCTCTTCGGTCAGATGTGTGTAATAGACCTTTAATGGGTTTTTCTTCCTGCAGGAGGTCGTGGTTACTGAGAGGGATCCTGTCTTCACCAGTCTCTCCAACCACTAACAACAGTCTCTGAGGGAACACCATGGCTGCATCGGTAAGTGTGTCTCGGTGCTTATGCATGACTCCAGATACGCGTTCGCATCTTGTCATATGGTACCCCCTCCTCTGTGCATTGTCTGGTATTGTAGTGCCTGTATTGCATCTTCTGCTGCCCGTATTGCAGTTCCAGGTACGTCTTTTGCCGTTTGGTACTAGGTTGCATCCTATCGGTACCCCTGGGGTATTCCAGGGGTACGCCTGGCGCGTCTCGGGAGGGTACTTCTAGAGCATAGCTTGGCATCTCCTGGCATCATCCCTCGCTGTGTGTTGTCTCAGTAGTGCCAAAAGGGTTGTTGATGGCACTGTTGGGTCGTTATTGGCCATAGTGCCTAGCAAGATACCAGGTTATATTGTGGTACTGATAATAATGTATGCAGCGGGTTGATAACATCGGCGGTTTCTTGGTATCTCTGTAGCGCCTTGTATTATCCTGTCTCGTGGAGGATGTGTGTATCCTGTGTACTCACGTCTGTGTTGGGGGGTTGATACCTACACGAAGGTTCTACATATATTGGGGGATGCACTCTGCTAGACACAGAGTGAGAAATCATTTACCAAGAGAGGTTATAGCTACACAGAGGTGGTAATCTGCCACACGAAGGTTCTACATATATTGGGGGATGCACTCTGCTAGACACAGTGAGAAATCATTTACCAAGAGAGGTTATAGCTACACAGAGGTGGTAATCTGCCACACGTATTAACCTGGTCTTGAACCCGGGGGCGGTGGAGAGGTCGGGGCCATGAGATTGGTATCCTCGAAGAGTTCGTTCTTCGTGATGCACATAAGAGGTCATGATGCAAAGTAATAATCACATAACATAGAGTCCAAGCACAGTGTAAAGCTCTCACTCTCAGGGCACAGAGATGGCACCACCGCTTTTCCTCATATGAGATATAGACATACAAGTCACAGCTTCGTGTCGTCTTGTGCAGATGATGCAACAGTCAACATGAAAAGTATGCAGGCGATGAGTCAGAATAACGTGGCTGAAGTATGTTGACCAGACCACACTCTAGAAATTGAAGGGACGACGACGTTTCGGTCCGTCCTGGACCATTCTCAAGTCGATTCTTACAATCGACTTGAGAATGGTCCAGGACGGACCGAAACGTCGTCGTCCCTTCAATTTCTAGTGTGTGGTCTGGTCAACAACATGAAAAGTACTTCTGTAGAAGGAAAAGGAACCATCAGGGGGGTCAGGGGGGGGGGGGGGAAAGCGGCAAGCCATTACGACTATATAGCACTGGGAAGGTGTCAGGATAAGGATTTGGGATGGGACAGGGGAAGGAATGGTGCCCAACCACTTCGACGGTGTAGAAGACACGGAACAACTACAAACTAATATCAGTAAAGTCTTCGATTACACAACTATAAGAACGTGATACTTAAGTGATAAATTCCATGTACTTGGGTATGGTAAAAACGAAATGGAAGGAAAACAACATGTAAGGGATATCTTGAGATCTTGAGGTTATCTTGAGATGATTTCGGGGCTTTAGTGTCCCCGCGGCCCGGTCCTCGACCAGGCCTCCACCCCCAGGAAGCAGCCCGTGACAGCTGACTAACACCCAGGTACCTATTTTACTGCTAGGTAACAGGGGCATAGGGTGAAAGAAACTCTGCCCATTGTTTCTCGCCGGCGTCCGGGATCGAACCCGGCACCACAGGATCACAAGTCCAGCGTGCTGTCGGCTCGGCCGACCAGCGCCCTGGGATCTGGGAATGATGATCTCAGGCGACGTAACGTTTAGTGAACATAAACAAGAACAGACATGTTTGTTATGGTTTAAGATTAGCTTCTGGGAACCAAAAGTTCCAAGCAGCACGGGCTATGGTGAGCCCCTAGTAGATTTTGAAGAGCAAACACCATCAACCTGGATAATTAATGGATGGATTATTACAACAGTCATATGCAGGGATCCCATCAGTGATCATATTCTTTCAATCACAGCTACTGGCCTGCCTTAAGTACTGATCAGAGAAATTTCTTAAATACATGGAAGACACATAACACATATGGTGCACATAGACACTACAAAGTATCTGATTTATTGGCCCAGTTCAGAGCTCTCAAAATGTACTCTCTGGAAAAGAGATGAGTCATCATTTAATATATACATGGAAGATACTGGAGGGCAGCTCCCAAATTTGTACAGTAGAGTAACAACATACTGGAGCGAAAGGTACGGAAGGAAATGTAGAATAGAACCAGTGAGGAGCAGAGGTGCCATAGGCACAATCAGAGAACACTGAACATCAGAGGTCCAGTGAAGAGTAGAGGTGCCATAGGCACAATCAGAGAACACTGAACATCAGAGGTCCAGTGAAGAGTAGAGGTGCCATAGGCACAATCAGAGAACACTGAACATCAGAGGTCCAGTGAAGAGTAGAGGTGCCATAGGCACAATCAGAGAACATTGAACACCAGAGGTCCAGTGAAGAGTAGAGGTGCCATAGGCACAATCAGAGAACACTGAACATCAGAGGTCGAGTGAAGAGTAGAGGTGCCATAGGCACAATCAGAGAACACTGTCTGAACATCAGAGGTCCAGTGAAGAGTAGAGGTGCCATAGGCACAATCAGAGAAGACTGTCTGAACATCAGAGGTCCAGTGAAGAGTAGAGGTGCCATAGGCACAATCAGAGAACACTGTCTGAACAACAGAGGTCCAGTGAAGAGTAGAGGTGCCATAGGCACAATCAGAGAACACTGAACACCAGAGGTCCAGTGAAGAGTAGAGGTGCCATAGGCACAATCAGAGAACACTGAACACCAGAGGTCCAGTGAAGAGTAGAGGTGCCATAGGCACAATCAGAGAACACTGAACATCAGAGGTCCAGTGAAGAGTAGAGGTGCCATAGGCACAATCAGAGAACACTGTCTGAACACCAGAGGTCCAGTGAAGAGTAGAGGTGCCATAGGCACAATCAGAGAACACTGAACATCAGAGGTCCAGTGAAGAGTAGAGGTGCCATAGGCACAATCAGAGAACACTGAACACCAGAGGTCCAGTGAAGAGTAGAGGTGCCATAGGCACAATCAGAGAACACTGAACATCAGAGGTCCAGTGAAGAGTAGAGGTGCCATAGGCACAATCAGAGAACACTGAACATCAGAGGTCCAGTGAAGAGTAGAGGTGCCATAGGCACAATCAGAGAACATTGAACACCAGAGGTCCAGTGAAGAGTAGAGGTGACATAGGCACAATCAGAGAACACTGAACATCAGAGGTCCAGTGAAGAGTAGAGGTGCCATAGGCACAATCAGAGAACACTGTCTGAACACCATAAGTCCAGTGAAGAGTAGAGGTGACATAGGCACAATCAGAGAACACTGAACACCAGAGGTCCAGTGAAGAGTAGAGGTGCCATAGGCACAATCAGAGAACACTGTCTGAACACCATAAGTCCAGTGAAGAGTAGAGGTGACATAGGCACAATCAGAGAACACTGAACACCAGAGGTCCAGTGAAGAGTAGAGGTGCCATAGGCACAATCAGAGAACACTGTCTGAACACCAGAGGTCCAGTGAAGAGTAGAGGTGCCATAGGCACAATCAGAGAACACTGTCTGAACAACAGAGGTCCAGTGAAGAGTAGAGGTGCCATAGGCACAATCAGAGAACACTGTCTGAACACCAGAAGTCCATGGCTAGTAAATGCCGTCCAAATACCATAATTTCAGTTGATGGTGCGTCATGAAAGGACCTTCCTTGGACCACATGACACAACCTCCACTTATATAACATGACATAATCTGAATTGTTTATGCTTCAATACTCTCCAGCAACACTCACGACCTGTAACTTCCTCTCACCCTTCCATAGCTAACAAAATTGTCTAATCGGGAATGCTTGCCACTTGCTAATGATCAATGATTTAAGATATACTAGTGCTCAGGATTTAAGTTCCTTGGCCCACCAACACAAATTTTGCGACCTTCTCCTGGGGCCAGATTCACGAAGCAGTTACGAACCAGGGGCCAGATTCACGAAGCAGTTACGCAAGTACATACGAACCTATCCATCTTTTCTCAATCTTTGGCGGCTTTGTTTACAATTATTAAACAGTTAATGAGCTCCGAAGCACCAGGAGGCTGTTTATAACAATAACAACAGTTGATTGGCAAGTTTTTATGCTTGTAAACTATTTAATAAATGTAACCAAAGCCGTCAAAGATTGAGGAAAGATGTACACGTTCGTAAGTGCTTGCGTAACTGCTTCGTGAATCTGGCTCCTGATTACTGGAAGACAACTGTGATTATTGCTATAGACTCCTCCTCAGCTGTTAATCTCTCTCTTTATTACTCTCTCTCTCTCCTTATTACTCTGTTCGTATTCCCTTTTCTTGTATATATATTCCATTTTGTGCTCGCCTTGTCCCTTGTGTATTTGTTACTCTGCTGTCTAACGATGGCTTTGGTTCAGGAGGTCGATTGTCTCTGTCATGTAGACCATTATATTTTGTGCTTTTCTTTGCAAGGAATTCTCAAGATAACCTCAAGATAACTGTGATATTCGTAGATAGTAAAGTGTGTAGACAAGGACACTCACTCCAGCATTATATCATAGACTAATGAAACTAAGCCATTTAGAAATTACTCTAAAATGACGTTGTATGAAATGGCAAACTACTTACTTATCGAGGATAAAATATCTGAAATCTTTATATCTGAAGATATCTATATATCTGAAATATCTAAAAATATCTGAAAGATATACGACATGTGAGATTAAGAAGCAAGTTGTGTATTGTGAAGACTAATAACAATAAACAGCAGTTCCTTTATGACCTTGTAATATCCCCATAGCTAAAACAACTACGCATTAGCGTAACTACGGGCTCGCCATAGCCCGTGCTACTTGGAACTTTTTGTACCAAGTAGCGAATCTTAAACAGCAACAACAGCATTAGCGAAAAGACCTACCATTAATGTATAATTACTGGAAACTAGCGGACTGTGAAGATAGGATATGAAACTATTGGAAGGGAGTGAAATGTCAACTGACTCCAGGGATCATGTCAAACATCACTTGACACGTCAACTGACTGAGGCCAAGTAACATGATACATGTCATTTGGCCCCTTGGAAAGAGGGGGGAGGGGTTTAAGGGCCAGTTGAACCCTAAGGGGAGAATATATTGTGTGTGTATTATATCTTATATATGTCGTAATTTGTGTATACTGCCTCTGGTATCTGTTGAACTCAACCAGGAGCTACTCAACCCTCTATTACTATGACTTAACAACATTCAAGATAAAACTACTCTCATTTTCTTTGTTAGAACAATTCCTGCACTTTGGCTGAATCATTAGTCATCTGTTCCGCTTCTCAGATTCATAATACACCATGCACCTGCCCGCTTAACAGTGCCAGGCTTGGAATACTTCCTCTCACTCTAGTAGTGTTTCCTGGTGTGTGTCAGGTGTGCTTCCAAATGTGCTTGTGTCATGTGTGTTATCCACCACGTGCTGACTGGTCTGTGGATCCCCTTATTGAAGAATTCTTGTCATGTATGTTTGTACACCGCAGCTTCCTCTCTTGTGCTTGTCTGTTGCTGTGTACTGCTGTGGTGGCTACTGTGTGTACTGCTGTGGTGGCTGTGTGTACTGCTGTGGTGGCTACTGTGTGTACTGCTGTGGTGGCTACTGTGTGTACTGCTGTGGTGGCTGCTGTGTGTACTGCTGTGGTGGCTACTGTGTGTACTGCTGTGGTGGCTACTGTGTGTACTGCTGTGGTGGCTGCTGTGTGTACTGCTGTGGTGGCTGCTGTGTGTACTGCTGTGGTGGCTACTGTGTGTACTGCTGTGGTGGCTACCTGCCTGCTGCTGTGTGTACTGCTGTGGTGGCTACTGTGTGTACTGCTGTGGTGGCTACTGTGTGTACTGCTGTGGTGGCTACTGTGTGTACTGCTGTGGTGGCTACTGTGTGTACTGCTGTGGTGGCTACTGTGTGTACTGCTGTGGTGGCTACTGTGTGTACTGCTGTGGTGGCTACTGTGTGTACTGCTGTGGTGGCTGCTGTGTGTACTGCTGTGGTGGCTACTGTGTGTACTGCTGTGGTGGCTACTGTGTGTACTGCTGTGGTGGCTACTGTGTGTACTGCTGTGGTGGCTACTGTGTGTACTGCTGTGGTGGCTACTGTGTGTGCTGCTGTGGTGGCTACTGTGTGTACTGCTGTGGTGGCTACCTGTCTGTTGCTGTGTGTACTGCTGTGGTGGCTACCTGCCAGCTGCTGTGTGTACTGCTGTGGTGGCTACTGTGTGAACTGCTGTGGTGGCTACTGTGTGTACTGCTGTGGTGGCTACCTGCCTGCTACTGTGTGTACTGCTGTGGTGGCTACTGTGTGTACTGCTGTGGTGGCTACCTGCCTGTTGCTGTGTGTACTGCTGTGGTGGCTACCTGCCTGCTGCTGTGTGTACTGCTGTGGTGGCTACCTGCCTGCTGCTGTGTGTACTGCTGTGGTGGCTACTGTGTGTACTGCTGTGGTGGCTACTGTGTGTACTGCTGTGGTGGCTACCTGCTTGCTGCTGTGTGTACTGCTGTGGTGGCTACTGTGTGTACTGCTGTGGTGGCTACTGTGTGTACTGCTGTGGTGGCTACTGTGTGTACTGCTGTGGTGGCTACCTGCCTGCTACTGTGTGTACTGCTGTGGTGGCTACTGTGTGAACTGCTGTGGTGGCTACCTGCCTGTTGCTGTGTGTACTGCTGTGGTGGCTACCTGCCTGCTGCTGTGTGTACTGCTGTGGTGGCTACTGTGTGTACTGCTGTGGTGGCTACCTGCCTGTTGCTGTGTGTACTGCTGTGGTGGCTACCTGCCTGCTGCTGTGTGTACTGCTGTGGTGGCTACTGTGTGTACTGCTGTGGTGGCTACCTGCCTGTTGCTGTGTGTACTGCTGTGGTGGCTACCTGCCTGCTACTGTGTGTACTGCTGTGGTGGCTACCTGCCTGCTGCTGTGGTGGCTACCTGCCTGCTACTGTGTGTACTGCTGTGGTGGCTACCTGCCTGCTGCTGTGTGTACTGCTGTGGTGGCTACCTGCCTGCTACTGTGTATACAGCTGTGGTGGCTACTGTGTGTACTGCTGTGGTGGCTACCTGCCTGCTACTGTGTATACAGCTGTGGTGGCTACCTGCCTGCTACTGTGTGTACTGCTGTGGTGGCTACCTGCCTGCTACTGTGTGTACTGCTGTGGTGGCTACTGTGTGTACTGCTGTGGTGGCTACCTGCCTGCTACAGTGTATACAGCTGTGGTGGCTACCTGCCTGCTTCTGTGTGTACTGCTGTGGTGGCTACCTGCCTGCTACAGTGTATACAGCTGTGGTGGCTACCTGCCTGCTGCTGTGTATACAGCTGTGGTGGCTACCTGCCTGCTGCTGTGTATACAGCTGTGGTGGCTACCTGCCTGCTGCTGTGTGTACTGCTGTGGTGGCTACCTGCCTGCTACTGTGTATACAGCTGTGGTGGCTACCTGCCTGCTACTGTGTATACAGCTGTGGTGGCTACCTGCCTGCTACTGTGTATACAGCTGTGGTGGCTACCTGCCTGCTGCTGTGTGTACTGCTGTGGTGGCTACCTGCCTGCTACTGTGTGTACTGCTGTGGTGGCTACCTGCCTGCTTCTGTGTGTACTGCTGTGGTGGCTACTGTGTACTGCTGTGGTGGCTACCTGCCTGCTGCTGTGTATACAGCTGTGGTGGCTACCTGCCTGCTGCTGTGTGTACTGCTGTGGTGGCTACCTGCCTGCTACTGTGTATACAGCTGTGGTGGCTACCTGCCTGCTGCTGTGTGTACAGCTGTGGTGGCTACCTGCCTGCTGCTGTGAGTACAGCTGTGGTGGCTACCTGCCTGCTGCTGTGTATACAGCTGTGGTGGCTACCTGCCTGCTGCTGTGTATACAGCTGTGGTGGCTACCTGCCTGCTGCTGTGTGTACAGCTGTGGTGGCTACCTGCCTGCTACTGTGTATACAGCTGTGGTGGCTACCTGCCTGCTACTGTGTATACAGCTGTGGTGGCTACCTGCCTGCTGCTGTGTGTACTGCTGTGGTGGCTACCTGCCTGCTACTGTGTATACTGCTGTGGTGGCTACCTGCCTGCTACTGTGTATACAGCTGTGGTGGCTACCTGCCTGCTACTGTGTATACAGCTGTGGTGGCTACCTGCCTGCTACTGTGTGTACTGCTGTGGTGGCTACCTGCCTGCTACTGTGTGTACTGCTGTGGTGGCTACCTGCCTGCTACTGTGTGTACTGCTGTGGTGGCTACCTGCCTGCTACTGTGTGTACTGCTGTGGTGGCTACCTGCCTGATACTGTGTGTACTGCTGTGGTGGCTTCCTGCCTGCTACTGTGTGTACTGCTGTGGTGGCTACTGTGTGTACTGCTGTGGTGGCTACCTGCCTGCTACTGTGTGTACTGCTGTGGTGGCTACTGTGTGTACTGCTGTGGTGGCTACCTGCCTGCTACTGTGTATACAGCTGTGGTGGCTACCTGCCTGCTGCTGTGTGTACAGCTGTGGTGGCTACCTGCCTGCTGCTGTGTATACAGCTGTGGTGGCTACCTGCCTGCTGCTGTGTGTACAGCTGTGGTGGCTACCTGCCTGCTACTGTGTATACAGCTGTGGTGGCTACCTGCCTGCTGCTGTGTGTACTGCTGTGGTGGCTACCTGCCTGCTACTGTGTATACTGCTGTGGTGGCTACCTGCCTGCTACTGTGTATACAGCTGTGGTGGCTACCTGCCTGCTACTGTGTATACAGCTGTGGTGGCTACCTGCCTGCTACTGTGTGTACTGCTGTGGTGGCTACCTGCCTGCTACTGTGTGTACTGCTGTGGTGGCTACCTGCCTGCTACTGTGTGTACTGCTGTGGTGGCTACCTGCCTGCTACTGTGTGTACTGCTGTGGTGGCTACCTGCCTGCTACTGTGTGTACTGCTGTGGTGGCTACCTGCCTGCTACTGTGTGTACTGCTGTGGTGGCTACCTGCCTGCTACTGTGTGTACTGCTGTGGTGGCTACCTGCCTGCTACTGTGTGTACTGCTGTGGTGGCTACCTGCCTGCTACTGTGTGTACTGCTGTGGTGGCTACCTGCCTGCTACTGTGTGTACTGCTGTGGTGGCTACCTGCCTGCTACTGTGTGTACTGCTGTGGTGGCTACCTGCCTGCTACTGTGTGTACTGCTGTGGTGGCTACTGTGTGTACTGCTGTGGTGGCTACCTGCCTGCTACTGTGTGTACAGCTGTGGTGGCTACCTGCCTGCTACTGTGTATACAGCTGTGGTGGCTACTGTGTATACAGCTGTGGTGGCTACTGTGTATACAGCTGTGGTGGCTACTGTGTGTACTGCTGTGGTGGCTACTGTGTGTACTGCTGTGGTGGCTACTGTGTGTACTGCTGTGGTGGCTACTGTGTATGCAGCTGTGGTAACCACCTGTCTCATCACAGGTAAGTAAGGTAGTGTTGTGGTGGTGTTGGTGTGTGTACGCCATGTATATAGTCGTGTGTGTGTGTGTGTGCCGGGGGTAGAGTAGTGGGGTCAGATGTCTACAAAAGTCTCACACTGTGTCTCTCTCCCTCTCATGCTGCCTGGATCACTTTGGACAACACTTGCACCGCTGCACCACCACCCCCTGCTGCTGCTGCTGCTGCTTCCACCCTGGACGGGGCGTGCCTCTGGTGCCGGCACGGCCACGTATGTACAGTTGCGGGTGGGCGGATGTGCTGGTGGAGTGGCGGCGGCGGGGCGTCTGACAGTGGCGGCGGCTGCATGAGGGGCGGCGGCCAGCGGGTGTTGGACACGACGTGTGACGGGGGCCGCCAGTCCCCCGCCATTCCTTACTCCGCCCACACCAACCAGCCGTATTCCTGCGTGGTTGTGCCGCACTCACTCACGGCGCCGGCCACCGCCGCCGCTGCCGCAGCCGCCTACGCCTCCCCCCTCTCCCCCCCAGCCTTCCCCAGAGGGGTGCCGCCACCCCCCATCGGCACGCCTTTAGGCACGCCACCTTCACCTTGTTACGGCAGCTGCAGCTGCGGCGCCTCGACCGCGTCGTCTCCGGGGGCGTGCCGCGTGCACGAACGGGTGTTCACGTGCCCGCCGCCGCCTCCACCCGTGACGTGCGGGGCCACGGAGCGTGAGAGCGTGCTGGGGGCACTCTCTGGGGGTGATGGGGATCTAGCCGTGCCCATTAACGATGACCAGGAGGTATGGCACCCTAGGGACGATACATCGGAAGAGATTAAAGAAGAAAGTGTTAAGGAATTATTGCTAAGGTGTGTTGGGCTGACCAGCTCTCTACCTCTATCTCTACCTGTACCTCTCTATCTCTACCTCTACCTCTATATCTCTACCTCTACCTCTCTCTACCTCTATATCTCTACCTCTCTACCCCTCTCTCTATTTCTCTCTACCTCTATATTTCTTCCTCTTTATCTCTACCTCTTTCTATACCTTTATATCTCTACTTCTCTCTCTCTACCTCTCTCTGTCTCTCTCTCATTCTCCCTCCTTTCTCTCTCTCTTTCTCTGTGTTCCCTAGCCGGATGCGGTGCCAGGGTCTGGGTGCCACCTGGCACTCATGGCTAGAGACCGTGTGTGTGTGTGTGTGTGTGTGTGTGTGTGTGTGTGTGTGTGTGTGTGTGTAGTGCCTTTACCTGTCCTGACCTCACCCAAGTCCTCCTGTCTGTTGGTCTAGTGGCGGCTTGTCACGCCCAGCTGGGTGCCTTGTGTCCTCTTCGTTAATTCTGGCACCCGGGTATGTTTAGTGGCACCCGGGGAGTGCCTCTACCCGCTGGACGGTGCTCCTGGTACCTGTTCCCCTCCCTCCCTCAGGCCAGGAAGGTACCCGTCCCCCTCCCTCCCTCAGGCCAGGAAGGTACCCGTCCCCCCTCCCTCCCTCAGGCCAGGAAGGTACCCGTCCCCCTCCCTCCCTCAGGCCAGGAAGGTACCCGTCCCCCTCCCTCCCTCAGGCCAGGAAGGTACCCGTCCCCCTCCCTCCCTCAGGCCAGGAAGGTACCCGTCCCCCTCCCTCCCTCAGGCCAGGAAGGTACCCGTCCCCCCTCCCTCCCTCAGGCCAGGAAGGTACCCGTCCCCCCTCCCTCCCTCAGGCCAGGAAGGTACCCGTCCCCCTCCCTCCCTCAGGCCAGGAAGGTACCCGTCCCCCTCCCTCCCTCAGGCCAGGAAGGTACCCGTCCCCCTCCCTCCCTCAGGCCAGGAAGGTACCCGTCCCCCTCCCTCCCTCAGGCCAGGAAGGTACCCGTCCCCCTCCCTCCCTCAGGCCAGGAAGGTACCCGTCCCCCTCCCTCCCTCAGGCCAGGAAGGTACCCGTCCCCCTCCCTCCCTCAGGCCAGGAAGGTACCCGTCCCCCTCCCTCCCTCAGGCCAGGAAGGTACCCGTCCCCCCTCCCTCCCTCAGGCCAGGAAGGTACCCGTCCCCCTCCCTCCCTCAGGCCAGGAAGGTACCCGTCCCCCCTCCCTCCCTCAGGCCAGGAAGGTACCCGTCCCCCTCCCTCCCTCAGGCCAGGAAGGTACCCGTCCCCCCTCCCTCCCTCAGGCCAGGAAGGTACCCGTCCCCCTCCCTCCCTCAGGCCAGGAAGGTACCCGTCCCCCTCCCTCCCTCAGGCCTGGAAGGTACCCGTCCCCCTCCCTCCCTCAGGCCAGGAAGGTACCCGTCCCCCTCCCTCCCTCAGGCCAGGAAGGTACCCGTCCCCCCTCCCTCCCTCAGGCCAGGAAGGTACCCGTCCCCCTCCCTCCCTCAGGCCAGGAAGGTACCCGTCCCCCCTCCCTCCCTCAGGCCAGGAAGGTACCCGTCCCCCTCCCTCCCTCAGGCCAGGAAGGTACCCGTCCCCCTCCCTCCCTCAGGCCAGGAAGGTACCCGTCCCCCTCCCTCAGGCCAGGAAGGTACCCGTCCCCCCTCCCTCAGGCCAGGAAGGTACCCGTCCCCCTCCCTCCCTCAGGCCAGGAAGGTACCCGTCCCCCCTCCCTCCCTCAGGCCAGGAAGGTACCCGTCCCCCTCCCTCCCTCAGGCCAGGAAGGTACCCGTCCCCCCTCCCTCCCTCAGGCCAGGAAGGTACCCGTCCCCCTCCCTCCCTCAGGCCAGGAAGGTACCCGTCCCCCTCCCTCCCTCAGGCGAGGAAGGTACCCGTCCCCCTCCCTCCCTCAGGCCAGGAAGGTACCCGTCCCCCTCCCTCCCTCAGGCCAGGAAGGTACCCGTCCCCCCTCCCTCCCTCAGGCCAGGAAGGTACCCGTCCCCCTCCCTCCCTCAGGCGAGGAAGGTACCCGTCCCCCCTCCCTCCCTCAGGCCAGGAAGGTACCCGTCCCCCTCCCTCCCTCAGGCCAGGAAGGTACCCGTCCCCCTCCCTCCCTCAGGCCAGGAAGGTACCCGTCCCCCCCTCCTCTCCCACATTACACCTGCCCCCACCGTCCGCTGTCTGCCTTAAACACCTCATCCCCGTGACACACGCCCCTACACGCGCGTGCATAATACCACACACACCTGAAGGCATGTATCCACGCACGAACTCTCCCACATGTATGTATACATAGGCATGTTGACCCCGGTATGCGCGCGCACACTAACTTGCCAATTGTCTTGGTTACATAAATATAATTTATGGAGTATATAACTATTAGAACGCGGGTTCGATCCCAGGTCCTGATTCAGGGGTTTTATCTTTGAAGAGTAACAATAGCATGAAGGCACAGTGATGCTCGCTTGGTTCCCTCGTGGGTGTGCAGCCCGTCCTCATAAACAAAGGTCCTAAGTCCATTCCATCCACCCGCCAAACCCCCTGTTTATGAATGATTAAAAATATTTTACACACGATTCGTGTCAGACGTCCGAACACTTCCGGAACAATTGCTTCACTGACGACTTGTGTTCGAACCACAACGCTGTAAATGCTTCACCCACGTACTCCAAATAACTGTCAAGAGAATGTGAACACCTAACCTCGGCCAAATTGTGGACGAAATTGTTTATAATACTTTTAACAAATAAGATATTGAATGCGCAGTACGTCAAAATAGACGAATGTGTGTGTGGGGGGTCGGCGGCCGCCTGGAAGAGCCCCTCCTGATGGCGGGATGCGAACTGGTTTGAGGGCTTCACCCCCCACGACTAGCAACAGGCGAAGCCAACCTTGCACTAGATGCTTCCACTGACGATAAAGTTTCCATATCAACTGTTTTCAGCATTTCTTGAGAGATAAATACTAGTAATTTATATTTTGTTGCCGTGTAGGTATATCTGGGAGCCTCGGACCACAGAGATGGGGTGTGAAAGGTGGTGTCAAATAAGCGCTTGACTTACATAATGTTGTTGCCCTCTTGACAATGCCAGTATGACATTTGAACACTGTGCAACCTATTTGTAAATATTTCAGGCCTCGGTGAGAAGCCTTATTGGCATATTGTATTATGTTCTAGCAAGCGAATTGTGTAAGTTGTTTTGGTACCGAATAGTGAAAGATATTTATAACAATAGTGGCTACCAGTGACTCGATAAATATTGAATATGCGTCTGTATACATGTCCGACGGCGTAAATTAGCTAACGATAGTATAAATAATTGTTAAATTAATAAATTGGCTGCATAGTAACCCATTCCAACTCATTGTACACCACCTATGACGCTATACGCTATATCTTGTATCGTTATAAAATGACCTCATTTTCTAGCCAAATAAGACGGAACATACCAGACTGTTTCTACATTTGATCTTGTCCTTAAAAAGGTATAAAAGTCAGCCCCTCTGAGTGAAAAGTTATCAATGTGTGTGGCTAAATAATTGACCGGCTTTGTAAGACAAGCTGGTGTTAGAGAACTGTAACACGTGTATAATTCTCTGGAGCTGTGACAGCAGTTTGAAAATGACTTCCAGACGACGTCATTTAACTTCCCGCTCGACGCGCGCACTCCACCGTCCCTTTGATGTCAGCTTCACCGCAGGATTACTCGCGCACAGCTTCCTGCGACCTGTGTCCCGTTGGTCCAGTCGAGGTCGAAGCCTGTGTACGCGGAAGGTCGAGTCGAAGTAGAGGCCTTTGTGCGCGGTAGATTCAGTCGAAGTCGAAGCCTGTGTACCCGGAAGGTCGAGTCGAAGTAGAGGCCTGTGTGCGCGGTAGATTCAGTCGAGGTCGAAGCCTGTGTACGCGGAAGGTCGAGTCGAAGTAGAGGCCTTTGTGCGCGGTAGATTCAGTCGAAATCGAATCATGTAGCGCGCGTTAGGTCGAGTTTTCCCCAAGACAAGACCGTGTGTTAATGGGTGACCTGATGGGTGCTAGAAAGTTATAAATGAAGGGTGAATGTGTGCCCGCTGCCCCGGCGTGGGACCTAGGCAGGGCGCAGGGTGGCCCTGAATGTGGTGCCCTGACACATTCCGGGCTCCAAACTTGCCTGAAGATCTGCCCTGACACCCGGATAAAGGTGGGTGCTTCTGGCATGTATACTTCAGGGCCCCAGGATTGGGGCCCCTGCTTCACCAACCTCAACTGGCTAGTGGAAGGTGGGTTTGGGGCCCTCAGACTCATACCAGTAGTAAGGGGGAAGGAATCAACCAGGTGTAATATGGGTCAGGCCGCGCCCACTGTACATGACCAGTGAGGGAGGTGGAGTCTCCTGGCCAGCCCCTAGTGTGTTCCCCCACCTCCATAGTGTTCCCCCACCCCTATAGTGTGTTCCCCCACCCCCATAGTGTGTTCCCCCACTCCTAGTGTGTTCCCCCACTCCTAGTGTGTTCCCCCACCCCCATAGTGTGTGTTCCCCCACCCCCATAGTGTGTGTTCCCCCACCCCCATAGTGTGTTCCCCCACCCCCATAGTGTGTTCCCCCACCCCCATAGTGTGTTCCCCCACCCCCATAGTGTGTTCCCCCACCCCCATAGTGTGTTCCCCCACCCCCATAGTGTGTTCCCCCACTCCTAGTGTGTTCCCCCACCCCCATAGTGTGTGTTCCCCCACCCCCATAGTGTGTTCCCCCATCCCCTAGTGTGTGTTCCCCCACCCCCATAGTGTGTTCCCCCACCCCCTAGTGTGTGTTCCCCCACCCCCTAGTGTGTGTTCCCCCACCCCCATAGTGTGTTCCCCACCCCCTAGTGTGTGTTCCCCCACCCCCATAGTGTGTTCCCCTACCCCCTAGCGTGTGTTTCCCCACCCCCTAGTGTGTTCCCCCACCCCCTAGTGTGTGTTCCCCACCCCCATAGTGTGTTCCCCTACCCCATAGTGTGTTCCCCCACCCCCTAGAGTGCGTTCCCCCACCCCCTAGAGTGCGTTCC